AGTGCTATTTGTTATCCCTTCTATATCGCTCTTTCCTCTGGATGGACCCAATGTCCCTGCTCCCCACTTTGCCCTTTTTCTGGTTATACTTCAAAACTAAGTATTGCACCACAGCTTTTTTTATTTTTCAAATACAATTCTATTGAGGTTCTAGTGCCATTCTTGGAAATCATGATGATGTTAGATGCTGGTAGATTGTTTTGCCAATTCCCTGCATCTAATTGTTAAACTTCCTACAATATTTCACAATTACACTTTCAAGTAGACTTACCAAGTTTTCCAGGAGTCAGATCAATGTTTGAAACAAAAGTTGGAAAACCACTAAATGAATGAATGTATCCATTTAATATTAGCTAGTACTGAAATCAAGTAATGCTAGAATCCTATAATCACTTATCTGATAGCAAGTCTCAGTGAACTCAAGACACTTCTGAGTAGAGCCATACAGATTCACACTGTGATGCATAAACTGCACATTAGGAAAAAACGCCATGAAATAGATTAGGGTTTGCTCTCAATAAGAATACAAGTGCACCATAAAATTCTAATTCTAAACATAAGCTCAGTGGATTTACTTTCTAATAATAATAACATATGTATGATTGAGCTGAAAAATCTTTAAACAGCTAACCATGCCATATTGACTGGCATTATGAGTACAGGGAACCTCACCACAGTTATGGTCTAAAACACAATGTTCAAAAACAGAATTTTATTGATGACATTGAAAGCAGGAAGTGGATGTCTGGTTAGGAAAACATCTTAAGAAGTTTAATGGCCAGTGGAATTTAAAGAAAAAAAAAAAGCAAAAAGATAAATGGTTTGGAAACTATGCATGAGGGCTGGGCTCAACAGAGAAATCTGCAAAATAGTTAACAAGAACATTACATCCAGTAAAGCATTTCTATCCTGCTTTTGTATTATCTGAAAACAGTTCAGTGTTTGGAACTGCATTCAGGGTTTATAAACCTTTCCTACAATAGTCTCCCTGCAAACATTAGGGCAGCACACAAAAAACAGTACTTGCAGATCTAGCTGGCCATGATTTCTAGAATATCTGAGGCTACTTTAAAACAGCTACACCATCTGAACAGCAGGATCAGTTCTGTTTATTTGAAATATTTATATCTTGCTGTTTACATAAAAGGCCTCTCATCGTAGTCTACAGATCAATTAGACTAAGGAAATTCCAGTTCTCAGGCTTACACATTTAATGCAAAAGGAATGGGAAATGAGCACAGTGGGTGGGGACTTCTAACCCCTGTTCTTAATTGCATCTGTTTTTATAGGAACTAGCTATTATGGAAGTGAACTGTTCACAGTGCAAAAATCAAGTCTTGGCAGGTCTTCAAAAATACTCTGTGACCTGACCTTCCCCAAAAGAATTGTAATGTAGCCAGAAATACGGTTTCACAGGGCTTCAGCCTAGTGGAATCTGCTGAGTTCTTCTAACTTTTACCACACAGCTAAGTGTTCAGGAGATTCCATGCAGGACTGTTGCTTTGAATGGATTCAGTAAGGTGGAAGGTACCTAGCCCAATGTGTAAGAACAGCAGTTATTCTAGAACAGGATACAGTACTGATTCCTCTCAGATCAAATAAGACAATTGTTTCAATCCACCTTAGAACTTTTTCAGTATGCAGTATGCAGTGAACTGAAATTATAGGTTACCTGCCCCCATTGCAGCTGAGCCGATAGAGATACAAAAATGACTCATTACACTGTCTAGAAAGGGAAGTTGAACAGTCACCCTGGCTGCCCAAAACAGGAACATTTTGCTATGGATTATGGAAGAGATACCAGCATAGCTGCATAGCCACAGCTACCTAAAATCCCACATTTCTCCATTGCTGGCTATAGGCATCCCAACCCTAGAGGTACTTTGTGTGGATTGTTCAACGGATACAAAAGCAGGACAGGACATCTGAGACACCCATTGACACAGTATTGTCTGCAGTGACTGGTAACATATTTCCAACTAGTGTTTAATCCAAGCTGACATGAAGATTGTAGCCTAGACCATATATAACATCTGTTAAATCAGTAAGTTTTGGCTTTGTGTGTTTTAAAATTAAGCCAGCTGAGAAGAGCAACAATGGGCTGCTGGGGGGGGAGAAAAAGAAAATGAAGGCAGAGGGATGCATGATCTGCCCCAAATATTAAATTCTTACAATCACTACCCTAAGTTAATAAAATCATGATTTATGTGACTGCTGGGATCCACACAATGTACTGAAACATACGTGACCCATACCCACTTGGCTGGGTTCATAGAATAGAGCCACTAACCAGCCAAATCCATTTTAGCCTACGTATTCTGCAAACCCAGCCTTTGGACTAGAAACCTTGGCGGGAAATCAGAGCTGGGAAAGAGTATGGTGAGTTCAAAGCAATGTTTTTTTCCAAACTTGGCAACTTTATAAAATGAGTGGACTTCAACTCCCAGAATTCCTCAGCGAGGAAGGCATGGGTAGCTTGCACCAGCTTGCTCATCCAGTGTGCATGCTCCCTGATGGGGGAAAAGGCTACTACAGAACCGCTGCTAGTAGCAGTGGCCTCCATGGGGCACTTAAAGCAGGAGAAAGAACAGTTAATTCAGCAGTGAGTAATGGCAACTTTGCTCACCTCTTATTATGGAAATGATGATCCGTCTGCATGAGGCAGACCTGCCCACGAGCAGAGATCTTAAGCATCTCCTATGTTGCGGTTTTTCAGTCAAAATCAGTGTGCAAAACTAAGTAACAGTGCAGCAGGAATTGGAGGCATAGGCAGGACTAGACAAAAAGAGGCTGACATTTGCTAGAATAGAACAGAGCTTAACCCTTTAACCATTGGCTGTGTTCTCACAATGTGTCAATACAATATGCTTAACTGGGTTATTTCTAAATCCAGTGTGCTCTGCAAACTGAAAAACCTGCTCAAATCAGGGTCAGGAAAGGGATCTTTCTAACCTCCAAATATTCTGGCTCAATTGCTAGTCAAAGCTCCTTTCTTTCATCAGGTCCTGTTGTACAACTCCAAATCATTCCTGGGGTAGAGACTGGGCATTGCCCGGTTAGCTATGAAATGTGTCAAAATAGAAAAGATGACAAAACCCAACCATTCTGACTTCTTCTGCCAGCTGAGCCACACCCATTGCTATCAGCCTCACCAATGGGCAGGGGGTCATCAGCATAGCAAGGTTTCCAGCACGTTTCCGGCGGGAGGGGGGATTTTTGGAGAAGGGACACCTAAAGCTGCTGACGGGGTACAGCCCACTGATCATGCAACTGATTAGCCACACAAATTAGATTATTAAATGCGCTGCTGCTTCCTTGTTTCCAAGAGAAAGAAGTGCAGGAAGGACAAAAAATGTTGCACAGGGGACCGGAAACATCCGTTCCTATGGAACACCATACATGCTTCCTTTCCATCCTTTTCAACTGGGGGCTGAGGGCTTTGGTTATTCCCCGAAACGGCAGTCCTTGGCCGTAATATGTTGCTATGCTTCAGAGTAAGGATCTATGCCTGAGTTGGCAACTGTCTCAGATTAGCACACTACAAGAACACCGCGAAAAGTTTATTATGTCTTTTCTCCTTGAAAGTTTCCAGAAAACTAGCCAGACTATACCTCCCACTTTTTCTAGCACAGTTCCCATTGGAAAGCTTTTCCCTGCAATCCTCTGTAAAAGAAAAATTAATATTCCAAGTTTACTGCAGATTCTACTGCAAGGGGAGCGTAGCTTAACTAGTATTATTCCAGAGGGACCCGCCAACCAACGTGCGTAGAACAGAAGACAGCAAAAATGCATCCACCTACAAAAAAAACGACGACGGGAGCCTAAAACCGCGCCACCCAGCAGCAAGCGCCACCCACACTCCGCTCCCCGCCCCACCCCTCGCTTTCCTCCGGACCGCAGAAGTTCTGAGAGAGTCTCAGCACGTGGCCGTATTTTATAATTGTCCCGCCCCGCCCCTTTCCCGGGTCGCGCGCCTCTCTGCACTCGTCAGCCAATCGAAAGTAAGCCTGCGTGGAAAGTCAGATGACGCACCGTTTTTTTTTTCTTTTTTTAAGGCAAGCGAGGGGCTGCGCTTGGGTTTGTCTCACGCCGGCGACGGGAAGGCGGGGTGGAGGGCAGGAGTACGCGCACCTTATCGTGGTATATGAGGAGGGACGGCGGCTTCCTTTAAAAAGAAAAAAAGAGGAAGGGCGGGAGAGAGGGCGATGCGGGCTTGCGCGCCTAACGGCTAGTAACGACCGAACGCGCAACCCTGCCGGAAGCGCAAGCGCCCAGAGAGAGAGAAGGCGCGCGCGCGCGACACACACACACGCCCCCAGCTCGACGGCCGTC